CGAGTACCTTAGCCACTAGACCACCGTGGCGGGGCAGGGTCTACAACATAACCGCCTCCATCGGAAAAGCAGCCGCTGCAGCCGGGATTCTATCCCGCGACCTACGGGTCAGCAGCCGAGTACCTTAGCCACTAGACCACCATGGCGGGGCTATTAGTCATAATTAGTATATATATATTTAGCACTAATGAAACATGGAATGTCCTAAATTGTATGAAGTTGGCAAAGAGTAATTAGCTAATATGGAAGTGATCATAAATTAATTGGCCACGATAAGGTGTTCTTTGTATAGGCATATTTTGCATGACTAGGTTAAGGAGGGTGAGCATCATCAACTTTGCCTAATTATATTTGGCTATACTTATTTCGACTCATCTGGGCAAGTCTAAACCTAACTTCGCTTAACATAAAAACACCAAGCTGCAATGGGCTTAACTTCACCTACTTACGCCTCACTTTAGGTGATTAAGTGCTCGACTACTTTGAATAATTTCGGCTAGATTAACCTTGAGAAAACAAACCTTATTTAGGTGCAAGTTCGATTAGTCTGACAAAAGCAAACTGGCCTGAGAAAATTTGTTTTGTGCGTTTGGCTTCGACAGGTTGTGCGATCCTCGCTATGCTTACTTATCCTAAGCAACCGGTGTCAACAACAACGTGAGCCGGCGCTTGAAACATCCCCGTTGCCGCTACGTAAACGAACGCACAAATTCGATGGAGCAAAGAATACAACACTCAGTTGTCCTTTTGGCTACGTGCGCCCTAACCGCGTCGAACAGAGCAACATGAGAAGTCAAGTGATAAGACGGGACGCGAATGCGCCCAGCAGCAGGTGTCTTGTCGTGTCTCATCACTAGCTGGCGCGTCAATGCATTCTGCCATGCGATCCCGTGATCTGCATGCTTTTTGTCGCACGTGTACATACACAAGAGGCAGTGGACAGGACGCGAGACCTGTCCATTGAAAAGGTAAACGCCCTTAAATCATTGTTGCATCATCTGGCATGCTTCGAGCACACAACCATGCACTTATGTACTGACTTTTAGCTCAGTAATTAAATTCTTGATTTGAAAGTGCGATAGAGGGTGTGCTAACACGCTTTTCAACAGCCTATCTGTGAATCAAGCTTCGATAAATTCACGAGTAAGCTGAACCCTCTTTCAATCGTATCCTCTTGCATTTATGTCTGGTCTTTCGCTTCTCATGTACCCGGTAATCAATAACCCTAGAACTGCTGCGAGTTCAGACAAGAGAGTTGTTGTTTTAGGGGCGAAGCTCCTTAGGGCGTGGGCTGTGCGTCCCCTGTAGCCTGTATGTAGCCACCTCTAGTTTAGTTCTTGCAGTGTTCACTAGATGGCGGTACCGTCTCCTGTAGGTAGCCACCTCTCGTTTAGTTCTTGCAGTGTTTACTAGATGGTGGTATTTGAAGCTGATGATGAAAAGATGCAAGATGTTATAAACTAGAAAGCGGTACTTGTAGTTGATGAAAGACGCGAGATCTTATAAAATAGGAATGATGTCACATATGGCGCGTGTCATTGGTTGAAGGCAATCGTTCGATTTAGTGCGGCGACGTACGCGAGGGGGAGCGTTGTAATAAAATCCGTTCGCTGTTGGCGCGCGCTCGGAGTCGCCGGATGGATAAGGCTGCACAGCGGAGAGAGCGCAAGGCGGCAGCAGCGCGCGCTCGCAGACAGAATCCCGATGTGCGAGCGCGCGAGGCAAGGGACATCGCAAGCCATCCATCGTCTAAGAACAAATAAAAGTTGATTTGTGTATATACACACACAGCGTTTCTCACGTCTTTACATGATGATCGACTGGGCGATTTACACGGAATATTCACAGTTTACCGATGAATCCCTTCGGAGCTTCGCCCATTCATCATCATTCACCCCGTGAATATGCCGTAATTTTTTTTTCGTCTTCACTGTCCTTCCAGCAGGCGTCATCTTTCTCAGCCACTTCTTTCTTCGCAAAAAAATTTGGAAAATGGCAGCACAACGCATTCAGGCTGTCACAATGCCACGATAATGGCTTGACGCTCTTAACTGCGCTTACGTAGTTCACCCAGCAGATGATAAAGAAACTTGACAAGGCAGAACGGGCGAGCGATTACAAAATACAAGCAGTATAGGAGACACAGTGCAACTGATGTTTCTCGTCCATGGACAATCCAGAACTTATTTTCTCACAATCTGCAATTAAACACTTGAAATAGCAAGAAAAAATAACGCATTCTTTGTCTTTACCAGATGTTGTTTAGAACGTTTTCATATTATATTTTATATATTTCAAATTGGTAGTGCTGGTTCACGTTGATATTTAACGTTAGTCAACGGCCAATAAATGTCAGCATCATAATGGCAGTTTTCATATTCCTCCCAAGGACAAAGAGCAACAGAGATGATTACGGCACCTAGCGGCACACATCTCAAATGCGCACTTCTGTGAGGAAAAAGATGGCTTGAGACAATCGGTTACGTTCTTGTTTGAAAGATTGGTCGAAGTGCCCGGGAAAATATGTGCAAGAAGTAGACAGGAAAGCGCTTGCACTCACAACTGAAGCCTAATAATGATAAAAAAGTATACAAATAAAGTGTTTGACTTCTCGCATACCTGTGTGCATAACAGAGCAGGGCATGAACAAATTAAAACACTCGTATCGGGATTACTACAAGGATTTTAAGGGGTACATGTCGTTTGTTAGATATCAAAGCAGTTCATATCTAGATCAATGACTTCCTTATCATGCAGCACGACTGTTGCTTGACTAACAGTCACGCTCTTTCTTCACGATATGGTATGATGATACCATTTCACTAGACAGCTGATTCTTATGCGGAAAAATGATTTAGGTTTCAATGAAGATAGGCCAACATCAGCAGTTCATACAATAAGCTGAAAAATTGGAGTTTCTAGTCGCCTTTTTAGATGCATGGCGCTATTTATCACACACTTTGAGTGAGACCCCGCTGATCTAACAGGGGCAGGTGACAGACTCGCAGGCTTCCACTTTACGCTTCAGCATGTGACGCCAGAAAGGGCTCTAAAAGGTGCAGATCAATTTTTCGTAGGCTGGTCTACCCTTGTCATACTGAAGGGCTCCGCAAATTTTGACCTCCTGGGATTTTAAACGTGCACCCAAATCAGAGTACAGGGGCCTACAACATTTCCGCCTCCATCGCGAATGCAGCCGCCGCAACCGGCGTTTGATCTCACAAACTGTGGGGCAGCAGCCTTAGCCTTAGCCACTAGACCACCGTGGTGGAGAAGGTCATTCCTGTAGGCGTCCAGTTTGTGAGCTGAGGTTTTCCTGTCTTGAGTGAGCCTGTTCAACCTGTAGACCTGTATTTGAATGATGTGATGGTCGCTCCCTAGTGTCCTGTAGTCTTGTTTACGTTGCGTTGTGGACGTCTCTAGTGAACGTGAAATCGGTATTAGCATTCCTCAACGTGCTGTTGCCTATTCGAGTTAGATGAATCAAGTCATTCCACCGCATCAGACCATGTTGCTTTGCACCGTCGTGAACACGCGCCCTCTTCTTAGTGGTGCTGTGATAGCCCTAGGCCGCGTGTGGAGCACTGAATTCCCCAACTAAGACAAGTCATTGGCCGTTAGTCCTTTGACGGAGCTCATAGACAAAGTGCTCATATTGGTGTAACTGCTCTCGCGGAGGGCTGTAAAGGTTCGCCAGGTATAAACTCCGTGACACCAGGCCCATTGCAGGGAGCGCCTGAAAGAAAAAAAATATTTTAGTATCTAGTGTTCTATTTTCTTTATTCTGGCTTCCTTTTTAGTTTTTTGCGATACCAAATGAATGAACCCTCTCGGCTGGTTTCTGACACCGGTGTCGACGTTGCCGTCATTCACCGTACATGTATAGGTATCTATATAAAGGAAAACAGAAAACACTGGAAAGTAAAATAATCCAGAAAAAGAGTGCAGTGCATTGAATTATGAGTATGACCTCTAAATTATAAGCACGAGGCGTCAACCACTAGCCATTAACCTTCTTCAACGTCGAAATGGCAAGCCATTTATAATTACCATTTACCGCTGGCAATGGCAACTTAACGGGAACTATCGTGTTTTCAGCATTATCAGCGAGGTGGAGCAATAAACGCGCGTCGCAAGATCATCACGACGCGGCGGCTGCGCGCTCTCTCCCGCGTACTTTGCTCTGTGAAGGTAGGGGGAGGAGGGGGTTGTGGACGCTCGCTTATCTTGCACTGGCGACAATCGTACGCCTTGAGCTTCTACCGGAATGATTTCGTTATAAGCACAAGGCGCACAAATACAACTACACTCGTTGCACAGTGTCTGTTTGTGAAAAGGGCGTGCTTTTCAGACACAGCGAAGTTACAGTTAAGACGCTTATTCGCGGTCATCTGTACCTGTGGGTACGTTGCGTGCGTCTTTTGTGCGTGAGAAACGTGGAACACGTTTCAATCTGCATGCGATTCATCGCGTGACGTTCCAATTTGTTGCTATCGCGTTCATTGCTTCGCCTTTGCGGCAAAGCTCTGACTTCGTTTCGCAAAAGCACCTGAAAACTATCCTGTTGAATTAAAAGAAAAATGTTTCTTTATCACAATTTTAGTCTTCCGATGCGAGTATTTCGGTATATGTAAAGAATACTTTTCCGATATCTCTGCCTAGTCCTGTAGGCAAGATAGTCGAGAAAGTCAAGTGATTTTCCACTCAGGCATCATTTTGGTGTGTTGAAGACATATATTGCGCACATTGAAAACAGTGAGGCTAAATCGCTAATGCTTCATGCATTCGCATGTTCGAAACACGCCCTTTTTCTAGCATCTACGCACATAAAGCAATAACTGCGCCACGTTAGGAGCACATCACGTGATTTCAATGTGACGCTACCGCTAGTACATGGCATCAAGTAAACGTCGGCAATCGCGCAAGCTCCGTCACGCTTGTTCAGACAGGAATCCCACATAAGTAGGACCAGCCAGAAGCGCACACCCACCAGCTACTCAATCAAGAGGCAGCCTTTCGCACGTACAATGGCCCGGAATGCAAGCAAGGCGACCGTGCGTCTCACTTTGAACCAAAGCGTGTCTGATTTGGTTAACCAACTGCGATTCCCAGAAGCCGTCATCGAATTGGTTCTCAACAACTGCATCGCCAATGAGCCGGCACAGTTGTGCAAGCAAATCAGCCGCTGCCCATTACTGCGCATTCTACGCTGCTGCGCCAACGTGCTACAGCCTAGCCAGCTGCTCCAGTTGACGCTGGAACAACTCCCACGTTTAGAGCGACTTGAATTATCGCTCGTGAACGACGCAGCCTTCGACTCGGAGATCCGTCACGTGCGCGGTTATACGTCGCAGAGCTCGGATATCATTTCGTGCCACGGCCTACGTGAAATGTACGTCGAGGTAGGTGGGCACCGTAACTTCGAGGTCCTCCAGGAGCTTCTGAAGTTCTACCCAGAACTAACCGATCTCCACGTTCACTACGTGTGGGGAGACTTGTGGAATGCAGTGTCGCGGTGCCAGTGTATCGTGGAAAAGCACCACAATCAGCTTAAGACGTTCACGCTCACTTCCGAACTAACAGCTAGCCCTCCAACTCTGGACGGGCCAATATACTCACGAGCGGACGGAATCTACGCAGCCATCTGCGACAACTTCCGTTACCAAACGTCTAGCTCGTGCACTACTACCTTTAAACTGGATGAACTAATGAGTACAGATCGCACCACCATTTTGCCGTCACAACTGTCAGTTCTGGCCACCTACAGTGGACGCATGGTCGAGAGCTTTCGTTTTGCGATTACCCGAAACGTGTGGGAACACGTTCGCCAACTCTCTATTCTGCTGCTTCCTCGAGATCCATGCGTCGAATTTCATGCTATGGTACGCCACGAGTTTCGCGAAGACATCGCCAGATTCTTCCACGTTGTGCTTCAGTACGTCGCAGAACTTAACCTAAATTCGCTTCATTTTGCCCTGGATTTCGACTTCATCGGTCTGCTAGGGGACAGGCTGCATAGTCTGCACGCCTTATCTGTGCCACCATGTGCTTTTCCGAACCAGTCTGCAGTGCGCCATCTGGCGGCCAGTTGCCACAGGCTCCGAGATCTGGACGTGCGCCTAGAAAAGCGGCGAGGTCACTTCCGGTGCCACTCGTGTGAGCTTCTCCAAAAGCAGGGAAACGCCCAGCCACCGTCCTACCCGGCCACCTTGTCTTCGTCGTCTTCATCTCAGAAGAGTGCTATCACTGGGCTGACGCTTTGCGGTGTGCCTTCTAACGTACTACTATGGTTCGTCGACTGTTACAGAGATGCAGTGAAGCTTCGACTGGCCGAGTGGTTCTTTGTGAAAAGCCTGCAGTTCAACCATCTGTGCCGGCTTCTGGGCAAGAACGGCATCCGTTGTCTTGTGCTCAAACATCAGCACCTGCCAATAACCTATGAGTATCTCCAGGTAAGGCCGCTTATTACCGAAGGTGGAAAGGTGCAGCACTTTCGATCGTACATTGCCTGCTTGCTGGGAATTTTAGAACACGTTTTAAGGGACGAAAATTGGCGGAGTTGGTCAGGTAAAAAAGGGGTGTTTGGGGCATGTTAGTCAGAATCACGTGTAATAATAATAATAATAATAATAATAATAATATGTGGGGTTTTCCGTCTCAACCGCGAGATGACGGAGGTGCCCTACTGAAAGGCTCGAGAAATGTTGACAATCTGGTGTTCTTTTCCGCGAAAAAAAAAAGTTCGCCTAGTCGTTATCGAAGCTGCGACCTAACGAAATTGCGCAGAAAAATGGCATGAGCAGAAAGTGCAGCACGATGGCAACGTAACTGCTGGTTATTAAGAGTAACATAAAGGCAAGCACGTGAGGGGGAAGCAGAAAGTTAGGTTGGCCAATGATATTAGCAACTTTCCTGAAGATAACGCGGCCGCAGCTAGCGCGGTGCCCGGTTGAGTGCCTAAGCCTGTGGCAGAGCCTTCTGCCTACAAGGGACGTAAACAGGTTTATGACTACTTACTAATGAAGCCCTAATTATTCGCTCTTGTGTCTTTCTTTTTTTGTTGTTGTCAAAGGTTACTAGTTGAAAAGTCCTGAAACTTCATCTTAGAGGCTTTCACTCGGGCGTTTCCGTTTGATACGTCAGAGGGCATTGCACAAGAAAATAAAGGCGGAGTGTTGCTTTTTTTGTAGCAATGAAAACATGCACACAATAAAACGCCCATGCTTGATCTGCTTTCATTGCTCACAGGCCAGCTTGGCCAGCATGACCAGCCTGCAGCACCTGTCTCTCCTGACGTCGATGCAGGTCTCGGACATTGACGCAACTAAATGCTGTCTTGAGATCGCCGTCCGGGCAACCAAGCTCCAGTACGTGCACATGCACTACAAGCACGATGCCGATGGGTCTGAGCAACGGCTCACGTGGTTAAGAAGACGCCGCAAATTTGAGCTGCTGCGCGACCGTCCCTGCCTTGGGTGCTGCTCGACAGCGACGTTCATAGGACTAGTGAAACCACTCAACCGCGATTGCGACGCGGGTCTGTAAGCAGAGTACACATATACACGCGTGACAGATACACCTACACTGTATGCCAATTTGACGAATGCAGTTGTAATTAGTTTTTTTCTCAACTTTCGCATCATATTTTAAGCTTATGAACCATCTATTCATAGTCACATCCGGTTTTAAATTGTTGCCCTGCTCTTTCGCGCTTTTAAAAGTCGACTGTCACCTTCCATTGTTCATTATGTGGAAACTATGGGGAAGGCAAAAAATTGTTTTGTTTAGTAGTTTGCACAGAAACAATACTTATTGGGGTTTAACTCCCAAAACAGCCATATGATTATGAGAGACGCCGTATTGTAAGGCTCAGAAAATTTAAACCACCTGGCGTTCATTACGGCCACCTAAGTCTAAGACACTCGCGTTAAGCAATTTCGCCTCCATTGATAATGCGGCCGGCTTGCGATCCCGCGACCTGCAGGTCAGCAGCTGGGTGCCTTAGCCACTGAATCACCATGGCGGGTCAAGCGCAGAAAAATGTTTACATCCAACCAATGTGCTTCACTTCAATAAATTGGAATGTTACCACTCTTTTTTTCCTCTCTTCTTTGTAGTAGTTTTCCTTAACAACCATAGCTTTATGGTCAGTGCTCAGGAACAGAGAGTTGCACGTAACTATGTCAGGCAAAGCAAGCACTTGAACGGTGGGGCGCTCAGTACCAGCGTATGGATGCTGAGTACGTGTACTTAGTTTCTATCTCGTAGATATTGAAGTCTACTGCTCAGGAGTGTCTAAGTTTGTTGAACAACGCATTTCGTTAAGCAAAGTAAATTTGCGCCTGTGGTGTTTTTTTGTGATTTTTGTGTGCACTGCACAAAAACAGTGACGAGGTACAGAAATGGTGCCGTCATTCATGCGTGCATTAAAAGATGCAATGATTAGTGAACAGCTTTGAGACATTACCGTCATTTCATTGAAAGATACAAGACTATACTACTGTGAAGGCCCCTACTAACATAAATAAATCCATGATAATTGTTGTGTGCATAGATAAAAATTTTCTTGCCTGCACCATTACACTACAACCTTGTCTCTGTGTGTGCTGATCTCAGTGTGCGTGACATAAAACTGACTATCTGTTGTCGATTATCACCCTGCAAACAATTCTGTAAGGTTGCGTGTATAGATTCAAGTACTTTTCAACAGTTTGTGTAGACTTTTTCATGATTCCAACCATTTTTTCAAGCAATTTGTACACCATACACAATTATAAATATATATATATATATATATTATATATATATATATATATATATATATATATAATATATATATATATATTGAAATAAGTGAAAGAAGTGTACATCTAAAGGCTCGTTTTTCTGTGTTTTAACACAATATTAATGAGATCTAACAGACAGGGAATGTACAGGGGAAGTTATTAGAATCAATGGAATGTAAATAAGAAGAAAGAAAACTGGATGAAAAAATAACCAGCCGTGAGCAGGCTGGTTCCTGCTCACGGCTGGTTATTTTTTCATCTCCACTTTTCTTTCTTATTTACATTCCATTGATTCTAATACTTCCCCTGTACATTCCTTGGCATTACTGTCTGTTAGATCTTATATATATAATATATATATATATATATATAATATATATATATAATATATATATATATATATATATATATATATATATATATAAGGGAAAGAAGTGTATACCTAAGGCTCGTTTTACCGTGTTTTGACACAATAATAATGAGATATAACATAACAGACAGTAATGCCAAGAATGTACAGGGGAAGTTACTACAACCAATCGAATGTAATAAGAAGAAAGAAAAGTGGGTGAAAGAATTACCAGCCGAATTACCCACTTTTCTTTCTTCTTATTTACATTCGAATCACCCACTTTTCTTTCTTCTTATTTACATTCGATTGGTTCTAATAACTTCCCCTGTACATTCCTTGGCATTACTGTCTGTTATATCTCATTATTATTGTGTTAAAAACACGGAAAAACGAGCCCTTAGGTATACACTTCTTTCCTTATATATATATAATATATATATATATATATATATATATATATATATATACGGCACAACGGCAGGGTTGTCAACAAGGATAAATATATTTATCCTTGTTTACGACGCTCCCGTTGTGCCATATTGATACCTTCACGAAGACTAACTGGCCCATTGAATTATTACTCTCACTTATATATATATATATATATATATATATATATATATATATATATATTGACAGATAAGCTCACCTACCTCACTCGCTAGTGAGTTGGTACGTCCCTATAAAAATGTTTTTCTTTAAAGTGAAAAAGTGGTGTCACCTATCAGTATGGGGGTAGTATAGCTTCCATTTCACTCAAATGTGTGATAGACCAAGAACGATCACAGGAAAGAAGGAAGTAGTGTTGCTCTTGTTGCAGTAGGTGTGAGCCATTTCTCCATAATTCGCAATCCACCCCCCCGGTTTCCACCGGTCTCTGTGTATCGTGGTTGTATAAACTTTAACTAGTCGGCGCCAAATTTAACAGCTACGTTGCGGTTCATGGAGGTGGCCATTCTAGGGCACGGAGGCGCAACATCAAAAAAGCGGCCGCCTGGCGCCTTGTGCGGTGGTTAAACAGCGCCTGCTTCCTACGTCCTCCGCAGAGCACCTCGAAAGTGGCGACAAAGATATTGGATCCTGTAAAGTCACGCAGTTGATGTGCAAATTACGAAGCTTTGAAATTGTGCTATACCTAAAGAATACAACCACGTTAGGTCCTCAATAATATTGTTTGTTTGTGCTGCACGTCGCGGCTCACGTACTTCTTGTACTTGGGTGCACAACAACTGTGTCTATAAGTATTATAAGGAGGCTGTTAATGTTAGGTGGTAAGATACAATTGTCACCTTCAGAAACTTTAGGCTGATTGAAGCCACAGTTCTGTGCAGCTATTTGCTTTACCGCACGGGCATAGCCAGGCATTTCGTGGGTAGAGGGGGGGGGGGGGCAACCCTTAGACACTGGGGGGGGGGGGAAGCGGGCTTGAAATGGCCGTTTTTTTTCGCTCTGCTTGTCATGGCGAAAAAAGTTCGGGGTGGGGGGGGGGGGGTGGCGGAAAGGGTCCGCTGAGCAAACCTTGGCTACGCCCTTGCTTTACCGTTAGCATAAATAGTTTACCGTGTGGTCCAATATGTGAAGCCAGTGCTTCGGTGGGCGTTAATGTTAGCTTTCGTTGTAGTAAGAATAGAGCTGTGTTGTGGTCTTACAGAAAAAGGAATTGCAGAAAAAGTTGTTTACTGTAAGCGGCTCTGGAGCAGCGCACGTATTAAAGTGGTCAATGCGGACTTGCAACCTACACTTTAAAAGCACAGCAGTGTCGCCGATAGGAAAAGGATGTGCGTCGTATGGTACGCAGTGGTGAAACTAATAGAGCTGATCTTTTTAACGCCGTTTCTTACATTTGCCCGTCTTTATTGGTACGGTGAAATATCATCGCTCCAGTACCCATGTTCATGTTTTTTTTTCTTCTTTAATATGGACGAATTAGTCTTAGATACGACGTGTAGTGCACGTTCTGTTAATATGTCCATCTAAATATCGTGACTTCCTTTGATTTTCTGTGCGACCTTCTTAGCAATACACGACCACGTTCGTTTCAATTTTTCTAGAACATCAATTATTGTATACTATACGTTTCTTTTTATTTATGCTACGACAGATCACTAGTGTACGTGCTATATTTCACTTGCCCCACATATAGGAGAAATGTGCGGAACTCTGTTGCCTTCCATCGATCAAGTTCTTCTGTGCCCCTTGGCTTTCGCTGGAAATGCATTGGAAAGACCTTGGATGCCTCTCGCAAGCTCTCATTTAGTTGGCAACGATGATCTCTGCTCAGTCTATTGCTGTGGCCTTGGCATATCCAGTTTATGAGAAGCCGACACATGACCCCTAAGGAGACAAGGTACATGAATTCTGTTGGAAAGAATGCAACCATGTCAACATCAAGTGACAGAAAGGGTGAACAAGCAGTATGATGGCGTTTGTTCTCTTGAGAACGAAACGATGCATCAGTCCGTGGTGGTGCATGGAGTCTGGTAATTTTTTTCATCCACTTTCTTTCTCTTATTTACATTCCATTAATGTTAATAACTTCCCCTGTACATTCCTTGGCATTACTGTCTGTTATATCTCATTATTATTGTGTTAAAAACACGGAAAAAACGAGCCCTTAGGTATACACTTCTTTCCCTTATTTCATTGAACGAGGGTCTCGTACTGGCAGACTTGGTGTGTTTAGGTTGTATAAGAGGGACAATTAATCAGCTGCCCGCTCATAATAAGTTCACGTGCTACGTGACGCCAAACATGCGCATAAGAGTGTTTTACACTCGTTGTTTGGCTTATAGATGGCGCTGACTGTCGCTCCTACTTCTAAATTCACAGATAAACCCAAAAAAGTGGATGGAGGGAGGGGCCGCTGTAATAGCTCAGTGGTTAGAGCATCGAACGCGTAATTCGAAGGTCGTAGTTCGATTCCTGCTTACAGTTGGTAATTTTTTCATCCACTTTTCTTTCTTCTTATTTACATTCCATTAATGTTAATAACTTCCCCTGTACATTCCTTGGCATTACTGTCTGTTATATCTCATTATTATTGTGTTAAAAACACGAAAAACGAGCCCTTAGGTATACACTTCTTTCCCTTATTTCATTGAACGAGGGTCTCGTACTGGCAGACTTGGTGTGTTTAGGTTGTATAAGAAAAAGGGACAATTAATCAGCTGCCCGCTCATAATAAGTTCACGTGCTACGTGACGCCAAACATGCGCATAAGAGTGTTTTTACACTCGTTGTTTGGCTTATAGATGGCGCTGACTGTCGCTCCTACTTCTAAATTCACAGATAAACCCAAAAAAGTGGATGGAGGGAGGGCCGCTGTAATAGCTCAGTGGTTAGAGCATCGAACGCGTAATTCGAAGGTCGTAGGTTTCGATTCCTGCTTACAGTTGGTAATTTTTCATCCACTTTTCTTTCTTCTTATTTACATTCCATTAATGTTAATAACTTCCCCTGTACATTCCTTGGCATTACTGTCTGTTATATCTCATTATTATTGTGTTAAAAACAGGAAAAACGAGCCCTTAGGTATACACTTCTTCCCTTATATATATATATATATATATATATATATATATATATATATATACGGCACAACGGCAGGGTTGTCAACAAGGATAAATATATTTATCCTTGTTTACGACGCTCCCGTTGTGCCATATTTGATACCTTCACGAAGACTAACTGGCCCATTGAATTA